CTCATTAATAGCCTTGTCACAATCACTCAAATCCTAATTAATGAGCTGTCATATCTCCTCAAATGCTGGTGTCAGTCTGTTCGTTTGGCTCCTCTGAGTAGTATCTCATCGGCGCCATTTTTTGGCGCCTTTTCAGTTTCACAACGACTAAGACAATTCACATGTCAGTTTGGGGGCTGTTGAAACGCCTAAAATCCCGTCAAAATTTATGTATTGACATGTTAAATTTGGATTGCCTTTGGATCACAAATGGAGACAAATTTAGGCGATGATTTGATCATTTCTAGTTGATTCCACAAACAAACATACATATATTCATGTGCATTCTAAACTTAGAAGATGGGTTAATGGAACTTCAAGAAGGAATGTTAATTGTTGCACTTTTCCTATTGAGGGAGATACACATACAAGCTTACCTCTTGAATTGAGTTCCAGCCTTACGGGCATACTTAAACTCACGAGATGTACTTTGGCTTTCATGTCTATTTCCAAGTCCTCTTCTGACCTAATATTTCACTTTGCACATCCACATCATGATTATAAGATTTTGAGTAATCTTATTTAAATTTAAAAATTTGATCTAATTTACTGACATAATAATGTGGTTTCAGTAGAACCATTGAATCAACATCAAATTTCAATATTTGATGCAGTCCACAGTCAATTCAAGAATCATAGTGAATTAAGTCAGTAAATTAAGTCAATAAATTAAGTCCCCAATAACATTGCTCTAAGATTTTGAGGTAAGTAGTTGTGTCGTGTTGAGTCATATATGTGTTGAGTTGTGTTGTGTTGAATAATAATTAATCTTAAATCTAACCCGTTTAATTAATTATGTCAAATGTTCTACCACTAATTAAACTTGTTATTATAATGTCGTGTTCAGAGTAATTTGTACAATCTGCAAATAAAAAATCCAAGACTAAAATTCAGTTATCTTTCCAGAAAAACCTACGGCACGGTTTTGTCTTGAATTAAAAATTCACTAAATTTATACTATAGCAAAATCTAAAAAAAAATAAAAAAATTCCCCTCATTTTACAAGGATTATGCCAATATCGAACCAAAATTACAATTAATATGACATTATATTCATATAGTACCAGTAAAATGTGTATTGGGTCAACTTCAAATCATTCATGTTTGGACAAATCCAAGTTGAGTAAATTTCGTGACAAAAGGTAGTTTCATTTTCATGTTTGTGTCAAGAATTAATAGACCCTAATCAATCAATTTTATGTCACATCCATGGAAATTTGTAACCCTCAACTCGGGTTATCTAGCCTAGATTTGACAAGGGTACGCTCGTAGAGCCATATTCATGGGCAGGCTTCGAGTTTTGCAACATGGAAGGAACTCCCCAGTTGGTCTGTTTTGACTGTGCTCTATTGAAGTCTGCTTAATTCATAGGAATTCAACCCAATCCCAAACTTGTTTTGGTTGGTTTTGCATTGGGTTCCTAGAGGAATGGCTCTTGAACAACCCAATCCAATGTGCACCTTGAACAAAGTCCATGGATCAATTAGCACAAAATGATATTTCAATTTGTAGCACGATGGGGGCACAAAAATTGGTATAGAGAATCTCTACTTTTGATGCTAATTATTGCATTTTTTTTTTGACATTTTCGTAACTTTCAATCTAATAAAATTAACTACCGCATAAGAATGAATATCTAATAACGTGATGAAAATTGAATGGTTCTATGCTTTTTGAGGATTGTTGTAAAATTTTTGCAATCCCTTTACTTTGATTCGGAGTCAATGTAATTACCCATAAAAAAAATTTATTTTATTTTAATGCATTGACAACTTAAGAATAATTATATATATAAATAAGGATAAAAATAATTAAAAGAAGACTAATGTGTCTCTAATAAAAGCCTTGTCTTAGAGGACTATTTTTTTTTTTTTCGCCTTTTCCCAAATTTTTTTTCCTCCATAATTTCATATTGATTCAAGAGTGAATGCCATCCTTAACATTGGAGCACGACTCCATTGAGTGTTTTGGAGAAGGCTCAAGCAAAAAGGGTAATAGAGTCATATACGCACAAATAAAATCCTAGGAATCACAAGATGATTCCCAAGAAGAACTATGTGCAAATAGAGAACCATGTGTTCATAACATACAAATAGAGAAAATGATGACACAAAGGACATTTACTATGAATCACTTCTTCCGGTAGAAGCTAAATCCAGTTGTCAACAATGAACGATCAAATTCTCCGATTGTGTGTTCCCTTTGTATCCATCCACATGATTCTTCACAGTTTGGCAAAAGAGAAATCCATACAACTCTTACACAACCTTGACAGAGATTTTGATGGCTTACGATCTTCTTCGTGAGTAAAGGCCAGTTCATGGCTTCTCCCACCCTTACCTTCTCTGCACACGCAATTACCCAAACAACCTTTTACATTTGAGAGAGATATAGGGTCAGGGTTCTTCTCAGCCGACTATTCACATATGTTTTAAATAAGATAATATTGTTAGATTGGAAATTCTAAAAGACAGCAAACAAAGAAATATATATACACACACACACAAGTGAGAGAGAGAGAGAGAGAGAGTGAAGGGGAAAAGAAGAACAAAAAAGAAAACAAAAGGGTTGATTTCATTAAAAGTATTAATTAAGTACTTTTCTTATGAGTTTTATATTTTTATTCAATTAGAAGGTGTAGAGTTTATAATGTTGGTGTCTGTATACATGTATACAAATACACACACACATATATACATATATATAATTTCTTGTTGATTATTGAAGTTATTAGGTTGAACTTTAAGTTTATAATTGTTTGGAATTGATTGAGTTTAATCAATGTGCTTGGAAGAAAAAAAAAAGAAAAGAAAAAAAAGGAAAAAGAGATTTGATTTGAACTTGTAGAGTATACAAGCTGGATGATTTCGTTGATCAAAAAAGACAAAGTCTTGAAATTGTATAATTTACCCCTTTGACTTTCAAGAATTTTAGTTTGACCCATATGTTCTTTGAAATTTAATTTTAATCACTGTTTTATTTGATAAGTTGGAAGAATAGAATTTTGAAAAATTTATGGCAGTTCTGAAAGTAGAAAATTCGTTTTTCAAATAAATTATACTTTGATCTCAGAAGTTTTAAAAATTATGATTTGACCTCAAAATTTTAGAAACTTTTTCTAAATAGCCTAGAATACTTCTATATCTTATTATCCCGTATTAGAAAGGATATTAATATGTAAATGATATATATTAACTATATATCAATTGGTAGAAAGTACGTAAATTAAATATATAATCATAAAATCACGAAATTAGGAATAGAGATTGATTGTAATATGTTATTTTGGATTATGTGATAATTGTATAGAGATTGAGAAAGAGGGATTTGAATTGAATTTTAGGAATCAAGGTGAGTAGTTTACTACTTCTTTTGAAAAGATTTTATATATTCAATGTGTGAGTGCGTGCGTGTGAGTATTTTATATATATATTTATAATATATGTTGATGTTTAGGGTTGTAATTAAATATTTTGAAATTATGAACTGTTCTGCATGTGACTTTTGGAAAATTTGTGAGATGATTTTATATCATTGCTTTGATAATGAAAAGAAAATTTTTTGTGTATTTGGACTAAAAGTACAGTTTTGGTTTATGTGAAAATTATGTTTATGAGACGGGAACTAGGATTACTAGGTCTACGTGGTAACAAGAGACTGGACTAGTCATTAGGCTAGTGACGACAAGAGATTGGATCAATTACTAGGCTAGTGGTAACAAGAGATTGAGCCAGTTATCAGATTACTGGTAAGAAACATAATTTGACAAATATATTTCAAACTAAATTTGTGTGTGAATGTTTTGAGTTATAAATGTCTTTTCATTTATAAAATTATTTATGATCATAAGTTCATTTTGTTTACATGATTATGTGGGAAAAATTGAGGTACAATTTATTGTACTTATGTATGTATTAAAGTTTATTTTTGTATATAAACTGTGAAATTTATTTTCACATCTCATTAGAGGTGGTTGCTATTCACGGGCCAACGTGCTAATCAAAACATTTAACATTTTTCAGGTGAGGATCAAGTCCACAGATAGATAAGGTATTAGAGGAATTAAATATTTATTTTATTGTACGTCTTCAAGAATAAAAGTCTTTTATAGTTTTGAGACAAATGTTTAATTGTTTTGGGAACAATATTGTTTATATTTAGAGTAGTGAACCTTATGGTTTAATTATTGTTTTATATGAGTTTAATAATGAAATTAGTGGTGTTTAGTTTATTCCTATGCTATTCATTAGGTCGATGAAATGAATCACTTTATTATTTGTCCTCTACTGTATTTTGTATTTATTATACACAGGTTTAGTTGGTTGGTTAAGGCCTTAATGGCCAGTCCACCGCCCACCCGATGTGATATGGGGTGGGAGTGTGACAGTCAACAACAAACGTTTTTACACTTTGTGCTTAAGTGTCGCCAAGTTTTTTGATAGATGAACTCAAAGATTGACTCTCCTCATGCAATCTCTCTCTTGTGCTTTATGTTGAGCATGGGAAAAGATTAGATTTATATAGCTTACATTTATATTTCATGGAATAAGTTAAATTCAACATTTGTTTTTTTCTATCACCTCAATTTACACAAAACTTAATTGTTCAATGGAGTTCGTTTGTCCGATAAAAGAAATTTGCTACGTGATTATTAGGCATGATTGAGCTCCTTAGAGCTTGATGATCATGTCATGGCACCAAGTATCCAAAGTCCAAAAGCACACAAGAGGAAAAAAGAAAAAGTCTAAATTGGCATATATCTAAAATAAAAGGGGTATTTATCTAGGATTTTCCCAGAAAATCTAACTAAGATTTACTTGGAAAATCTACAACTCTAATCAAGTGCATATATGCCCTATTCTATGAGCATTCTTTTGACATGGTCATGACAATGCCATCTCCACCAAAAAAAGGGGGGGGGGGGGGGGAATTGCAAACAAAGCATTTAAAACACACTTATTTCATGCAGTAGAAAGCTTTGAATTCCTCCTCCTACAATTCTTCCTTATTTCTCCATTTGTTCCAGTGAGAGGCTTAATATCTCCCATCTTGATCATGGCCGCGACAAAATCAGAATTGAAAGTGTTTGGATTGCTGCTGTATGTCATCACAATTGAATCGGTCGATCCACCGTTAAAGAGTTGCTGATCGGAGTGCAGCAGTCCCCGTCGGTTGACAAGGTTCTTGTAATAGTTATTCTCGAAAGTAGTAGGAGTTTGGAGGTCTAGAGGTGCCAAATTGTTGTCACCTGAGCCAGCGGTCCTTGGGCAGTTACCTTGCCTTGTTTGAGCTAATGAACTGTCCAAGTTGGTTTCGTTATATATGCGAGCTCTGAAATTAGTGCACCTTGCTTGTCCAATTGTGTGAGAACCTAGTTTTTTGAGTCACAAGACAAGATTGAAACAAGTTCAAAAATGAGAATATAGGCTTGAAGTAATGATAAAAGGTTTGACTCGAGATTTTTAATGAATTGACTTAGTAAGATCCTCTATCATCAAGTCTTTGGAAGTCTAATATGCATGAACAACAAGAGAATGACATGCACTTGGATAGTAATAGACAGCCTCCTACTCCCCTCAAACACCTTCCCACTTGAAAGAGCATATAAGGGTTTTCTTCTTGAGTGAAGTCCGACAAAAACTCATATCTTACTACCTTTTGGAGCCAGCTTGCTACATATATACTTTTACTTTTACTTGAAGATTGGACCTTTATTTGCTTTGTTAAATATAGTTCTTCAAGTGGCCTTAAAGTTTCGACAAAAAAAAAAAAAAAGTGGCCTTAAAGTTACGGGCACCTAAATGAAGTTGGTTAAGTTTTTGAAAAGAGTGATGTTATTCAAACCTAAAAATTTAATTATATTTGTTGACCTGATGATATAATTTTATTGGAATAATTGGGTGAAGAATAAGTTCTAATATATGATCGGGTCATAATCAATATTTATCAATGAGTATATGTCTCTCGAAGAAAAATATCCACATAAAGGTCTCAAACTCATCAAATTACTTGACGAGTCATGGAATGAATAAATTAAGTTTAAAATAAGTTATAAAATTTAAAAATATTCCTAAAATAATTACCGAGGAAAAATATTCAAAAGAAAAATAATTTAATTAAGAATTTTGAAATAAAAATATTTTACAAAAAATAACAAAAATATTTAACTGAATGAAAAGATTTTATAATGGACGAAAAGTAAAGAGGTTCAAGACCTGTGTAGAATGTGGCTGAAATCCTCCATGAAAATATTGAGGCTATCGGTTTCATTATATATAATGTATTTACAAATGACAGATCCTATATAATAGGAAACAAATTAATCAAAATATATGCAGTTGAGATTTATCCTATAAACTAGGAAAGGAAAGATATGTACAAGATAAATTCATCTAAGATCAAGGAAAGAATCCGAAGAGGATTCTTCCTTATCAAAAAGGTTTTGTTTCACTCACGGGTCTTGCAATGGATAATTTGGAAATTTTCTGTTAAAACTAGACTAACATCACATAGTTTTTTGACAGTGTTTTAAACGGACTATGACAACAGGAGTGTAAGTGTTGCAAGCACACAAACTTTAAGGGATTTCAATGTTATTTGTCAAATATGAGGAGACTTACTTGATTAAGTGATCAATTTTAAGGGGTATAAATGTAATTTACCCTAATAATTAACCTTAAATCTAACTTGTTTAATTAATTATGTGAGATGTTCTGGCACTAATTAAACTTGGTATTATGATGTCATGTTCAAAGTAATTTGTACAACCTACAAATCAAAAATCCAATTATCTTTCAAAAAAAAAAAACCTACGACACAATTTTTTGTGTCTTGAATTAAAAATTCACTAAATTTATATTATAGCAAAAACTAAAAAAAATATTAAAAAATCCCCTCATTTTACAAGGATTATGCCAATATCAAACCAAAATTACAATTAATATGGCATTCTATTCATATAGTACTAGTAAAATGTGTATTGGGTCAATGTCAAATTATTCATGTTTGAACAAATCCAACTTTAGTATAATTTCTAGTAACAGATGTCAATTTCTGTCACATCTATATCGTATCAAAATTTGTCACCCTCAACTCGGGTTATCTAGCCTAGATTTGACAAGGGTAGGCTCGTAGTGCCACATTCATGGGCAGGCATCGAGTTTCGCAATATAGAAGAAACTCCCTAGTTGGTATGTTTGACTCTGCTCTATTAAAGTCTGCTTAATTCATAGGAATTCAACGGTTTTGCATTGGTCTCCTAGAGGAATGGCTAGTGTTCGGCCCTCATAAAATCATTGTTCCAATGTGCACCTTGAACAAAGTCCATGGATCAATTAGCACAAGATGATTTTTCAATATGTAGCATGCAAGGAGCCTAAAAATTGGTACAGAAAATCTCTACTTTGACGCTAAATATTGTATTTTTTTGGCATTTTCATAACTTTTTGTCTGATAAAATCAACTATCGCGTAAGAATATCTAATAACGTGACAAAGATTGAATGGTTCTATGCTTTATGAGGGTTGCTGTAAAATTTTTGCAATCCCTTTACTTTGATCTGGAGTGAGCGACAAACGTTTCTACACCTTGTGCTCAAGTGTCATCAACTCTTCTAATAGACGAACTCAAAGATCGACTCTCCCCACGCAATCTCTCTGTTGTGCTTTATGTTGAGTACCAGAAAAAGATTAGATTTGTATCGCTTACAACTAAATTTCATGGAATTAAGTTAAATTCAACATTTGTTTTTCTCTGTCACATCAATTTACACAAAACTTAATCGTTCACTGGAATTCTTTCACTGGATAAAAAAAAATTGCTGCGTAGTTATTAGGCGTGATTGAGCACATTAGAGCTTGATGATCATGTCATGGCACCAAGTATCCAAATTCCAAAAGCACACAAGAGGAAAAAAGAAAAAGCCTAAACTGGCATATATCTAGAATAAAAAGGGGTATTTATTTAGGATTTTCCAAGAAAATCTAACTAAGATTTACTTGGAAAATCTACAACTCTAATCAAGTACACATTTGCCCTATTCAATGAGCAATCCTTTGACATGGTCATGACAATGCCACCTCCCAAAAAAAAAAAAGGAAAAAATTGCAAACAAAGCATTTAAAATTAAAACACACTTGCTTCCTGCAGTAGAAAGCAAAAACATGACCTTTTAATTCCTCCTCCTACAATTCTTCCTTATTTCTCCATTTGATCCAGTGAGAGGCTTAATATCTCCCATCTTGATCATGGCCGCAACAAAATCAGAATTGAAGGTGCTTGGATTGCTGCTGTATGTCCTCACAAGTGAATCGGTCGATCCACCGTTAAAGAGTTGCTGATCGGAGTGAAGTAGTCCCCGTTGGTTGACAAGGTTCTTGTAATAGTTATTCTCGAAAGTAGTAGGAGTTTGGAGGTCTAGAGGTGCCAAATTGTTGTCACCTGAGCCAGCGATCCTTGGGCAGTTGCCTTGCCTTGTTTGAGCTAATGAACTGTCCAAGTTGGTTTCGTTATATATGCGAGCTCTGAAATTAGTGCACCTTGCTTGTCCAATTGTGTGAGAACCTAGTTTTTTAGAGTCACAAGACAAGATTGAAACAAGTTCAAAAATGAGAATATAGGCTTGAACCAAGTAATGACAAAAGGACTGACTCGAGATTTTTTATGAATTAACTTAGTGAGATCCTTTATCATCAAGTCTTTGAAAGTCTAATATGCACGAACAACAAGAGAATAACATGCACTTGGATGGTAATAGACAGTCACCTACTCCCCTGGAACACCTTCCTACTTGAAAGAGCATATAAGGGTTTTCTTCTTTAGTGAAGTCCAAGAGAAACTCATTCCTTACTAACTTTTGGGGCCAGCTCGCTACGTATATATAACAGTTAGTAGCTTAGCATAGTATCAAAACTTAAAGAGGCATTGAGTTCAAGTCGAGCTAAGCTCCCTCCCTTGCTACACAATACAAACACAGGGTCCTATGTGACAGAGAATATTAGATAAATATTTATGTTGTATCACTTTGTAAGCTAAAACTTTTAGAGCACCTAATGGTTTAGGATAATGTTATTTGAACCAAATTTGGGGATCTAAGTTAGAGACCCAATTCAATGTAATGATTGAATTGAAAGTGGAATCCATCTAACATTAGAACTTATAAATAATCCAATAACTGTATTGAATTAGGTCCCTATAACATAGTATTGCTCAATGATTTAACATGAACATGACCTTAATTTCTCCAGCAAAAAGAAAACTAAAAAATGGGCCACAGAGAGAGAGAGAGAGAGAGAGAAGACCAGATAAGGCAACCATGTCCCTGGTGGAAAGGCCAACGGCACTGAAACTAGAAATGAGGGCATTCAAATTAGAAGTTGGAGGCGGAATGCTTCTATTGGCAGCAGCCTGGCTTGCTGTTCTGGCATCTCTTCTTCCAAGTTTTACATTCCAACTAGGCCCTCCAAGCTTCATTAGAACACACACAAAAAAAACCATATGTACATTAAATTATTAGCTTGGCGTCAAGTATGTGTTTTGAAGTCACAATTACAATTTGTTCGGACTTACAGTAACAACAGAATCTCTGGTAGCAATAGCCAATATATCAGCACAAGAGACCACACCGGGGCACACATTCTCTACCGCAGACTTTATGTTGTCAACCACATCAAATCCTCGAGCAGAATTGACATTTGGAGCTGCCCTCTTTTCTCCTGTAAAAGAAGATGTGTCGTCGAGGAGGAGTGATCCATCGCAACCCTGAGAATCCCAAAGGAAAAATTAGAGAAGTGTCCCATTAAACTAGTAGATGTTAATATGATATATAAAGACCACTACTACAAAGATTATGTGTCTTTAGGCCCTAGCCATGTCAACAAAACCCGAAATGACTTATAGAGATTTATTTATGTGTTAAATAATTGATAATCATCCGAAAATCATAGGTATGGGATTAACCAAGACGTCTTTCTAAATACTCAAACTTAAGACCTTGAGATAGTAGCACCTATCTTTCTTTCCGAACCATGTATCATGGCAAACTAATTTTTGGAGGATTTATGAGCGCCTTGGGACCTATGCTTTACTCACCCATATATTTCTGCCTCAGCTAAGATTAAGTGCACTATACTTAAGTAACCTACGCCATTACTTCTCTCTCCTTTGTTTTCTTGGTTTAGAGCTATAATCCTAAAGCATGGACCAAGGCTCATTTTGCCTTGGCCTTTCACAATCACTTGTGACCGACAAGGAAGAGGTCGTTCACCTACAATATTCTAACTTATATGGTCGTTATATGGACCCTCTGACCAGCATAAAGAACAAGGAAAACTTGTAAGAAGCTAGATTCTAAAGAAAACATGAAAAAATGAAATTACATTAACAAAACAATCGTGAAAAAATAAGCGCAGAATAGAGGCGCCAATCCGTGCTTCTTTTGATATTGCGGATTGCACAGCAGATTTCACAGTGGGGAAAAGCCTCGGACAAGACTGGGAGTAAAAATTAGTCGAAAGTTGAGCGGAGGAGCTGCCAATGAAGAGCACAAGGAAAGCCAAAGTGACAATGACCTTAGCAGAAGAAGAAAATGAAGCCATAACTATGACCTTAGTACAAGTACTAGAGAGGAGTGTGTGGTGCACAGGATGTGGAAAGTTGTGGTACTATTTATAGAGTTGTTCATGCAGAGTGCCACTTGGTAATTGGCCTCGGCAGGTTACCTAACACGAAGACCCAATTGCATGGAATTTCTACGTCTCAAAGAAAAATATGCAGATTAAAGCTAGATAGGCCTTATGTTTGATTGATTAATTAATTATGGTGGGAAGACTTGTGGCATGAACCATTTTGTCAAAAAAAGGGACCCAAAAGAACAACTAAAATCTTTTTGATTTGTTGAAGAGGTCATGGGAATAAGGCAAAAAGTGGAGTTTTCTCAACAGGTATATTTATAATACTTAGACTTGTAGATTGGAGATTTATTTGCCTGGTTAAAGTACACCAAAATATAGTTCTTCAGGGCCCTAAAGTTACCCGCACCTAAATGTAGGTGGTTAGGTTTTTGAAATGAGTAATGCTATTCAAAATTCAAAATTTAATATTATTTGCTAATCTGATAATGTAATTTTATTGGTATCACTGGATAAATAACAAATTTTAATATTTGATAGAACCCACAATCAATTTTCATCAACGAGTATAAGTTTCTCGAAGAGAAATATCCGAGTAAAAGTATCAAACTCATCAAATTACTTGACGAGTCATATTTAAAATGACTGGTCAAGAAATAAAATACATTTAAAATGACTTATAAAATTTAAAAAATATTCCTAAAATAATTACCCAAAAAAATATTTCAAAAGAAAAATAATTTAATTAAGAATTTTGAAATAAAAATATTTTACAAAAAATATCAAAAATATTTAACTGAAACTTTTTAAATAAAAATACCTTTGGATAGTCAAATAAAATAAAACATTTACCAACCCACATTGAATAAATACATTTGGTCTTTTCCCTTTTCCTGTACAAAAGCTTTTGAGATAGCATGAAAATTTTAACTCTAAATTAGACCGATAATTGAATCAAACTTTTCGAATTCAAACTCAAATCTAGTATGTTAAACTAAACGAGTTCAAAAATTATTCAAACTCGTTTATTTAAAAAACGAGTTGAACCAAAACTAAGCCAGTCCCAACTACTTTGACTATTTTATATATAAACAAACTGAGCTTTTAGACTCAATTTTTTTAAAAGAACATAAAAAATTGTTCAAACTCGACTCATTTAAAAAAATAAACCAAACCCAAGTAACTCCATTCAATTATCAACCGTATTCTTATTCTTCCATCCAGCTGCTTTGCGGCACCAATTGTTAATTCAAATTCACACATAAGCTTCAACCTCAGGATCATAGATGCACTTGAATTAAAGAACCTGGTTTCTTTCTAGGTTCTGTCGGTTTTTTTCTTATCCCTTGGATGTGGCTATTCATATACTAAAATCTCTATCTGCATCTCATAAAAGTCTTTATTACAAAAAAAACTAGTAAGTCTACTTTAATCTACTCTTTATTTCAAAAACCACTTGTACTTGGTCAACACATCACATTAGAGACCAAGTCCACGTGAATTTGTTCTTGTATCGTTAAGATGTTAAATATATTTTTACTATGGGTAATATTATTTTAACCTAAAAATTTGATTTAATTTGTTGATATAATGACGTGACTTCAGCACAACCATTGGATCAACGCCAAGTTTCAATGTTTAATGGACCTTACTATCAATCCAAAGATCATAATGAATTAAATCAATAACATTACCACAAAAGAACGGTGCTGAAAAATAATTTAGGCTGTTAATTTTGATTTGAATGATCTTTAATTATTATTAAAAAAAATAAAAAAAATTGCATTTTGATACCGCAACACTCCTCAAGAGATAGAAACCCTTATGGAAATTCGTTAAAGAACATAATTTGTAATGTTATTATCAATTAGTTATTCAGGACAAGGAAAGGCCAGTCACACGTCAAAGCTAAACATAAGAAATATGCAGAAGACAAAAAGAGGACGAAACTAATAAAATACCTTGAAATTTTTAGATTTATGTGGTGGCTAACATTAAATTGTCAACATCCTTTTAACCTAAACACATCGGGAAGCTTTTTGACAGGTCAACCTTTACGGCAGTGTATTTCCTGGTCTTTGGGAACAGGCTGCCTTAGCCACATTAAGTCTCCTTCACCATTCATCTTTTTTATATATATAAAGTTTTTATTATTAAATTTAATATTATATTAATTTTCAAAATTTATACTAATCTTATACTTATCATATATTTTTTATATGATAGATTATTTTGATACTACCAAGAGAGGTGATATTATAATCCAATTCAGACGTATTATTTTACACATTTAATATTATAACCCCCAACTAATAAAATCAAATTATCATGAATGTAACAAACGTTGATTGGATTAAATAAGTATTATCCAACGTTTATTGTATTGCTAAACACTAGATAAAATTATATATTATTCAAATACTCTATGTAATCTTGTCGCTTGTCCATCTGTATTATATTAGGCTAAATTACTTTATCTAATTCATTCATATTTAATCCAACAACAAAACAAGTCCTGTGTGAAATAAATGACCTTTCGCTTGAACAAAATAATGTTGTTAGGACAAATTTTGTATTTTTTAAATTATTTTATAAAATTAATATTTGTGTGGAATAATAAGAAATAATAGAATTTTCCTTTTCGATCATATGATAGGAGTAAAGGCACGACAGGGATTTCATAGGTAATTAGGTCTATTAGAGTTAAAATTTTCAAGCATCCAATAATTTATTTTCTTTCAAGCATATGACAACCTATTTTAATGACTAATCATGAGCAAATAAACAAATATATAGTTACAAAATACGAGAAAATAAATAGGCACAAGTTTTGAACAACATTCTCCTATGAAACTAGCATTTAACTAGAACCCGAAAAAAGGAAACTGGAATTCAATAACTCCCATTGTTGTTAAGCCTCCATTCTTGAAGATGAAAAAAATAAAAGAATGGAGGCTTAACAACAATGGGAGTAATTGAATTTGGGATTTCCTTTTTTCTGATTTGGAATGGAGGCTTAAGCAAGAAGCCAAATCCATTGAATTTGGGCTGATTAGAGGATGTTTTTTTTTCCTCAAAGAATCATCCGAATGGAATTATGTAGTCAAGATTTCACTATCTATGTCCTATTCTTAACAAGACCTTAGAGTTTGAGCATTGAGGTGACATTAGGTCAATCATCCAATCCAATTTTTAGTATGCTATTTTTTACGAGAAAATCAGGTCACGGGAAAAAATAAAATTCTGATTTTTTCCTAAACAAACACAACACTAATTTTTTTTTTCCCTTTTTCACCACTTTTTTACTAAACAAACGAAGCCTTAGAGTGTCGCGGAAATCAATTGAGTCAAAATGTTTAAATCAAGTCGTGCCATTGCAGCTGGGTGTAGGCAAACTAACTATTAAGCCGTTCTTGTGATCAGACCTTGAACAATTCAGGAGGAGCTTGTGTGATTATTTGGCTGCTTGAAGGGGAAGATCCATTTTCGAGAAGAATAATGTTATCAGGATTTAAAAAATTGACATAATTTAGTAACACAATGATATGTCAAATAATAGAGTCTCAATGAAAAAAGTAGAAAAATTCCACTCATAATAATACTATTGAATCACGTCGCTTTCACATCATTATATCAATAGACCCCAATATTGTTACTACTTTGAGAAAGCAACCCACTGAAAGAAGATGTGAAAATGAAACAAATTTCTTTGGGTTGGTGAGCTACGTAGAAATTATGGAAATATGAGCTTTATGTCATTAATGATTCTAGAAAAAGTAGCATGTTTGAACATAGAAAAAAGCAGATTGTGTGTGAAACATTCAGCTCCACTTCTAATTGTAGTCTTTTCTAATTAGCCTTAGGAGGAAGGACAAACAAGTACTCCCAACTCATGAATTAATAGGGAAGGCTGGAGAAGTTCAAATAGTGAATATATATCACATTTTTCACTAAATGGCTAACAAAAGTCGGTGCAACTTGCCTCCACCAGACTTGAACTTTCAACTTTTTCTAGCAAGAGGAGAGGGACCGATGAATTTTTTCATTCATTTTTCATTTTTTTTATTTGTGCTTCAATAAATTTCTTAGCAACTAGTAAAATATGAATTGTCAAAGTCGTTTAAATGGGAGGTCAAAGTCGTCCCTAATTAATAGGTTAGGCAGAAATGCTTAGAGAGCCAATCATATAAAAATTCCATGTTCGTTGCATGTAATTAAATTATTATCAAGACAAATCTTAAAAGATTCTCTGATAGCAATGGTCTTCCTGCCTTGTCTACACCCCATAAAATGAAATCTTGGTGGGGAAATCGAGGTTAGCATAATTATCAACTTTGAGAGTCTTTTTTTTTTTTTTTAATAAATAATGAGATTCAAAAAGTGAAATCCATTTTAATTTGATTTTTAAGTTCAATAATACTATTTAAACCTAATTTTATTGATATAATTTGTTTATATAGTCAATCATAACTATTAAATTAATGGTGAATCCCAACAAATACTAAAATTCACTGTCAAACAAATGATTATAAATAATTAAGTCGATAAATTATGATCAAGTAGCATTCCTCTTTTAAGTTATACTAATTAGTGCACATGTGCATTATACGTCAATTATTTTAATTTTTTTTTAAAAAAATAGATAAATTAAACTAATTTTGTTTATATGGAGATGATTATAGATTACATGATTGCTCACTTATCTACTTATTTTCTTATTGATAGAAAGTTATACAAAGTGACTTTGTTAACGATTACACGAAGTGACACTTGTTTCTTTATTATATATATTCAAATATTTATTTTTTTTGCAAATTTGGATATGCACAACGTACCTACAAACATATGATGTAATTTGATAATTATTTAATAATATTGAGTAAAAATTCACATGTTAAATGTAAAAATCATTTCTAATCAACTTATTTGGATCAAAAAAATATATATATTTTCACGGACTGATATAT